ACGCGAGAAAGAGAAATGCCCAAACGTGCTTGAATGTTCACCGCATGCGCACAAAGCAGCTGGAGAGAGAGGCTACTATATTGTCTGCACCGTAACATTTGGACTTCAGGTCGGCACCGTACTAGCAATATAGAAGTATTATATATATGATTTGGTAGCCCTCTATGGTTTTGACCATAGAGCTTATACTCATGGAGAGTCCATGGGAGCGCAAGGAGGATCGACAAAGAGAAATATATTTTTCTGTTTTAATTGTGGGCACTTCTTATAGAAGAGAATAACAGAGAACACGGAGTGGGAGAGCCACAGTTGAGACAAAATATATCATGAATATATCTCTCTTTGTCGATCCTCCCTGCGCGGCCCTCTCTATAGTTAGCATATAGGCATGGCCTCTCTATGGCTGCGGTCCGTTTCATGCTTAATCGCGCATTTACCTATAGTATATGTCACGTATACTATATATAGATAAATGTGCGCTTAAGCATGAAACGGACCGCAGCCCATGAGTATAAGCTCTATGGTTTTGACTCATACTCCCGACAAGTTTAGATGTTGGTTACTTACTGTTATCAATTGGTTTCGTCACGTCTGCCTTACACTGTTTCCGAAACGTATGGTTCGGCCGCTCGGGCTTGTCTGGCTCATCACCAAATTTTGCCTCCGCTATACTCATCTTTGGTTGGTTCGATACGAAATATGCCCCTGCTGGGCATGACGAATCTTCTTTTCAGTTACCGATGTGTTTCTTGGAATGTGACCAATAGATCTGCTTCGTGCTCTGCTTATTGGCTAGTCCGGGCCAATCAGCCTGCAGTCGAGATGGCGCTGCCTGTTTGGCCAACCAGGTCGTACGATCGCAACACTCCATGCGTTTGCGGGATTCAGGTGTAAATGTTCAATAAATAATCACTATGCTTTATGATTTTTTAAATTTATTTCGATTTACACAAGTTCAACCATTTATACACTACGTCACGATCGGCCGCTTATCTCGACGTATTGTCGCAATTTAGCCTGCACTTCCACAACGCGTTTCTCTATTTACCGGTTTGACATGGTTTATTAGGGTGACGTCCATTTGACCACGGTACAATTGGACACAGTACGATTGCACACGTAATATTGGACACGTACGATTAGACACGGTACGATTGACCACAGTACGATTGGACACCGCAAGAATAGCACACCGTACGATTCGACACGGTACGATTGACCAC